ACAGTGGTGACTGCCATGCATAACATAAATACACCATATAAAGTTTCCATATAGTTATTGCCGTTTTTAGCCAAAAAGTTCACAAACGTTAGTGAGCATTTAAGAAAACAAAACATTAGGCATAATTGCTTGTAATTGAAAATATGTGCATATATTTTTGAGGAAGTAGGAATAATCAGTGCAATGTTCATATGGATAATTAAGTCTCTAACAAACATAGGTTCATACAAATCATTACGAGCCAAATAATTTAAAACCATTGACAATATACATATAAGGAGTAGATTGAATGCTGGATGAATGTCTGCTATCAGTCCCCAAAGTACTTGATTATGCATCACAATCACATGCAGAAGTTTGAAGTCTTCAAGATACAAAGGACTCATTGTATAATTCCAAGTATACAGAGTCCCAGAGGAATAGCAATAGGCGAACCACATGGTAAAAATAACCCAAACGGTAAAACAGGTCTTAGATCCACTCTTCATTCTCTCTGGTAAGTGTGTAATAACATACGACACAATCTTCTGCAGCATTTTTCTCCAAAATCGTTTTCAATTGAAAGTTTTGGAAAGTTGAACTAATCTTGTGTAAAATTGAACTAATCTTCTAGGTCAAAACAAGAAAATAACAAGAAAAGATTATTTTAATGAGCACTAATAATATTCATATCACATTATGAAAACATCTACAATTAATTAAAACAAAAAAGAAACACGAGGAGCAGAAACATAGATCAATAAAGTAACAGCACAACTGTATGAACCGCTGAGGTACGAACAGTCGAGTAGTATTTTCTGCTTTACTTAATATTTTAATTTGAAAGTGAAGTTAGTGTGCACTGGTGGAATATATTCAGAAATGGCTGTACCCAAAAGTTCAAAATAAATTCACGCAACTGGAATTTTGTAGATCGATATAAATCTGAGAAGTGATACAGCCAATCAGTGAAACTGAGGTTATTTTCATTGTTTTACTATTAAACTCTATTATAATAGAAAAAATATGTGGATAATGAGTTGTAACGTTTGTGTTGTGTGTGTATGTAAAAGGCATTGAGAATATTTATTATTTATAAAATAAGTTTCGAAGACATTGTATTGAAATAAGGTATTGGCGAATTATTCAATATGGCCGATCGGGCAAATTTAATTACCAATCGATAATTTTTAGATGACAGGTTATAGTGTTTGCGCTGTGCTTGTGTAAATGACCAATACGGCTGGTTTCACCAAATAATTTTTTTAAATAAGGGAAGCGGGGGTAATGGGAGTCAGCGGTAAATGATTTTCAAATATTGTAAACAACTCATATTAGAATGCATAAACATTAGTCATGGTAACTATAGCCAGTTGATTGGCGCAGCGAAAGAAAGTGTACATCATGATTATTGCGTCCAGGAAAGAGAGTGGCTAATGTTTGAAAATGCTCTCAGAAAATAAGGTCTTACTCATGTGAACTTAGAGATTTCAGGAATAATTATATTTTGTTGGGAGGGAAGTACTTCAGCAAATCATTCGATACCAAATGCAAGTAATTTTAAACAATCTATAAAAGGGTATAAATAGTTATGATAAAAATGTGCTTTTGAGATAATGGTGGTCAGTGATTCTCATTGTCGAAGCGTGATTGTCATTGCCCCAAACAAAATAGTTTATTGATCTGAATAAGTTCAAATGGTCCCCTGGTGCTATTTACACATGTTGCAAGAATGGCAGGACGGATGAAGAATTCATTAAATGGCTCAGACACTTTAAAACCCTTTCTGCCCCAGTTGCCCAGAACCCAGTGCTGATGGTCTTAGGACAGTCTTGGCAGTCACGTAACTTAAAATTCCTAAAAGTATTGAAAACCAAATTAAATACTGTTTCAAGTATTAATATGTTTAGTTTGCTTTATATTCCTTTAGTGCATCCTATTACCCGCATGTGAGGGATAATGGGGCTCAAATGTAAATTTTTGGAAATTTGATGTTTGAGAGGGTTTTACTGCATATTTTAGTAGTGAAAACACAAACTAAATAACTATTCGATGATATAAAATCACATACTTGTGGATAGGAATAATTCGAACTGATTTATATTGAAAAAAGATCCTCATTACCCCTATTTCCCCTATGACCTAGTAAAGTCGTCTGTAATTGTAAGTCGCGCTTTAAGTCCTTGGTTGTTCGTCGTTTCACCACTCCCTTTGAAGCAATGCTTACTGAAGTATAACTGAAATGCACCCGAGAGTTGGTTGGTACTGTTGGACCATGGTCAACCAGAACCAGAATTGACCATAACCAACCTTTTTTGTTTTAGTTCTGCTTTGTACTCTGATACAAAAGGTAATTTTAGTGATTTTAATTGGGAAAGGAGAGAGGAGTGCGAAATGTTCATCATGTGAGAAATAAGTGCGTATAGAATTTATGAGATAGTACATTTCTGTTATAGAAAATAAAGTTATAAATGAAGCAACAAAAAACGATAAACAGAGGAACATTGAACGCGGTTTCAAACAACGAGCACCAAGATGATATGTAACAATCATTAAATAAAATTATGGAGAGGATTAGTTTTAGGTGAAAAAAGAAATGCAGCAAAAACTACTGAATGTAAAACATGGACGTTGAAAGTAGATACCGTAATCATGTAAACGTAACCTAGAAAACACGTGTTGATAGGCCAACTTATTACTTTGAAGGCAATTATGAACAAAAATATTAAAATGTTCATTTCGTTAGTAATTATCTATGGAGTAAAAGTGTAAATCCCAGTCGGTCTTAAAAAAAGCTCACAAACATCTATTATTGTCATCTTTGATAGGCGAAATCGGGTGTCAAAATCCCTTTCATCGAGGTTTTCGAAATATTAGTACTCGGATTCTTCTCGATCTACAAGAAGACTTCTCAAAGCTCTCGTCTTCACAACTGTCTCGCTTGTCACTATCAAAAGCAACATTCCACAATACGCTCATGGTACAACATGGTCCTTTGGTAGCGAATCGAGAATTGCAACAAATATTTTAGAAGACATTAATTCTAATAATATTTTATACAAAACCGACCTCGATTTTGTTAAGTTACACTTCAAGGAATCAAAGTCATATCATTTTATTTTCTAAAAGTATCTCGCATTACGTTTCTGGTTGCAGTAACGCAAAATTAGTCATGAACCGTAATGAATCTTCATCGATCGATTGATTGATTAGTGATTCCTGGCGCCTGAACGGCTAAGGTCATTTGTCCCGTTAGTGTAGGGCGTGTTTTCCTCGGGCGCTGGTGATGATGTTCCCCCGCTGAATGGCGAGATTCGGTGCCGACCTACCGCCAGCTAGCTGTGTTTCCCTCAACCTGGTATCTCCCACTAGCGGGGCATCATTCCAGCCGGGACAAGCTCTAAGCTCCCGATCTGTCTTCGGTATGTATGGCAGTTTAGTGCATGTTAACGTAAGTGTGTGAGTAAGGCGTGAGGATATAACAAGGAATAGGGGGAATGTTCGCGCGCAGTCCGTGGCTCGTTTGTTGGAGTACTGTTCCGGCATTCGCCTGGTATTGATCGTAAAAAACAGGGAAAACTACCTACCAGAGCATTCGACAGCTAGAATTCTCCTCCAGACAGCGACTGAATTCGACCTAGCTGACAAACTAGTGTCGAAAATGCTGCCATCGTCGTGGAAATAATTGGAAACAAACAAGCTTAGTAAGTGATGTGTAGGGGAAAAGGAAGATAACGAATTGATAAAAACCACTATTATTGAATGAACAAGTTTTATTGGATCATCTAATAGCCAGAGCCAGTATTTGTAGGAGAACGTGCTCCCAAAACGAATGAAACAACAAGGAAAAGGAGAGGGTAAGTGACGTGAGGAAGGGAAGAGAGGTGAACGGTTAAGAAGTTTTAATAAAGGCGAGCACGTGATGTGATGAGCAACGTTGATTGGCGCCTGGCGTTAACCGGAGACGCCTCAGCTCAGATGCCGCAGCTGGCGCCGACGATGCGGAAGCACTGGAGCGGGTTGCCCGCGCAGCCCGTGCAGCGGTAGCAGCGGCAGGACAGCGACTCGGCGCACACGCCCAGGATGCCGTTGGCGCCGCCGCACCGCTCGCCGGGGCCCTGCGCACACCGACACACGCTAGAGCGATGGAGCACATAGGACGTACCGCGCGGCGATACGCGAGTGATGGAGTACGTACATACGCCGCGGTACGCGTACGTAAATGCTGGAGCACATACGACTGCGCAATCATACATGAGTGATGGAGCACATACGATCGCTCACTCATACGTGAGTGGTGGAGCACATACGATCGGGCAATCATACGTGAGTGATGAAGCACATGCGATCGGGCAATCATACATGAGTGATGGAGCACATAAGATCGGGCAATCATACATGAGTGATGGAGCACATACGATCGCTCACTCATACGTGAGTGGTGGAGCATATACGACTGCGCAATCGTACGTGAATGATGTAGCACACACGACCGCGCCACCACACGTGAATGATGGAGCTCGCACGATGATGCAAACACATGCGAGTGACGAGACACGCGCAAGCAGACGTGAGTGATGGAGCGCTCACAAGCTTGGACTTTTTGATTGACTGATTCGTTATTCTGATCGCGTTAATTGCTGTTCATCAGACCAGTAAGAGTAGTGTATGTTTTATCACGTGATGTGTCGATCTAATTGGACACCCAAGCTCATTCTAACAAGGGATTTAGTTAATTACGGGGCAGAAGTGGAGAAAGGATGAAAAAAGCTAGAAGGGATGAAGAAATAGGAGGAAATGAAATGAAGAAACGAGGGTAGAACTAAGTGAGATCATCAAGAAAATAAATAAAGGGTAAGTTTACATGGGTAACTTTGTTGCATATCATTTTTCACTACATGTGCGTTAACGACAAAAGGTGGTCATCTTCATCCCCCTGTACTGCAGTAGAAGATTGCAACATTTGCTCTGAGATTCTCTGATAGATTTAATGCCTAGATGGCCCCTTAGCAGTGACTAACCTTAGCGCAAACGAGTCGCTGACAGTGGTCGCGAGCGGTGCCGTGCTCGCACGTCAGGGGGTCCACATCGCAGCTGTCGGCCTCACACGGCGGACACGCCAGCATGCTCGTCAGCTCGGAGTACCTGTGGAGCAACACCCGTGTTGATACAGGAAAAGCATTTCTAAGACCTAAGAATAAAGAAATATGCATGAACGTATGTCACTAAAAATTGTTCAGCCTACGTTGTAACCACGAAATACGCTCAGTATTTGTTATAAATAGCATACTATAAGGAACAAGTTATTAAGGAAGTTAAAAAAAACCTACGACGAATCAAAAGATTTTAAAGTAAAAATGAAGGATTTGTGATCTCTGAAAAATGTTCATACTTCTTTTTAACCACAAAATGCGCTCTGTATTTGTTATAAATAGCATACTATGTAACAAAACATTATAAGGGTTTGACAAATAATTTTTGAGAATACATACGATTGGTCAATACGTCCCTATGATTAATAAAAATTGTTTAGCCTACACTGCAACCTCAAAATGCACCCAGTATTTATTCAAATTAACACACTTCGTGACTAAGTTATTAAGGACGTTCAAAAAATTATTTATAAGAAAACATACAACAGGTCGAAAGGTTAGAAAGTAAAAATGATGACTACAAAATGTTGACCCAACTTTGTAACCACGAAATGCGCTCAGTATTTGTTGTAAATGTGAGTTAAAATGCGTTAAAAGCAGCAAATACCAGTTGGCTGCCACGGGCAGAGGCCGCGTGGACAGGAGCAGCACGACGGTGGCCATGAGCAGCAGCGACAAGGAGGCGGCGGCGGGGGAGGCGGGAGCGCGCATGGCGGAGCGGCTGCAACGAGGAGACTAGGTGTCGACCTGCGCCGAAGACCCCTCCACGAGCGCCCCTCTCGGCTCGAGATGCCTCTGGGTCGATCCCCGCCTCGAGCGCGAGGCGCCCGCAGTTTGCGAAATCGAGTTTTCTCGGAAAATGAAATATCCTGTATCTATTGCACCAAACGTATTTTGGTCGTTCGCGTTATATCATTAAGTTCTAGCCCCCACGGATCTGTCTCGCCATATCTATCCCTCTGTATCTAACACTCTGTGTTTGGTCGTCTATATCTAGCTCTCTCAACCTAGCCCTCAAGATGTAGCACTCCAGATCTGGTCATCCAGACCTAGCCCTCCAGATCCAGCCCTCCAAATCTAGCCCTCCAGATCTATCTCTCTACAGCTTACCCACCAGATCTAGACCTCCAGATCAACACCTAGTAATTTAAACCTGCAGATTTGAACCTTCAATGTGTTAATGAGATGCACTATTATCTACAACATAGAAGCATCCCACACTTCAGAAAGCAATGATGAAGCATCTTATTGATTCAACAACTAGACTCCAAATGAATTCAGTCATCCGGAATTAAACGTTTATATCTGAACCTCTAGATAGTGTTCTTTGGAAAAATTAAGTCAAAATTGTCTTACTCCTTGCCCTTATATTAGTTCTCAATGGAAAAAACAGTTCGCAAACTTTCTGTTGATTTTGACGATAACCCTTGCTTACTAAGAGATGAAATTTAAGCGGAATTGAACATATGAAATCGTGCTTTTTGAAATCTTTAAATGTAACATTTCTGTATCACAAAGTTTTGACGTTAAATTGCCTATCCAATACATTTAGACATTGTTGAATACAAATTCACTGACAGAAAAATGTTAAGAATGAAAGCAACTCTGATTATTGTAATTTTTAATTACGTTAAATGGGCCATTATAACAACAGTTATCAATATTTATCAGTTTTTTATTCTGTTTGCAAAATGACTGTCTTGTATACCTTGCGCTACGCTACTGCATGTAAGAAAGCAAGACGCATTTCGCAACTCTCTAGCCTCCAAGATCTGGCCTCCCAGATGTGAACGCCCGCAAACAGACTTCCAGACCTGGATCTCCATATCAAAGCTTCCGAATAGGGGCCTTTGAATTTTTACCTCTGCATTTTGACCTGCACATCTGAGTCTCCAGATATATGGAGATCCACATGAATCTCACCCACTGTGGGTAGATTCGCGATGTAACTCGCATCCCCCCCCCGAACGCCCCCAAGAGCCCAGATGATCTCACCGGTCGTCCTAGTTGCGGGGCAGCACAGGGTACGCTGGAGGTGCTCGGAGGGCTGGCGGCTGCAGCTGTGTGGTCCTGCGGCGGGCGCGGCCGTTTTATAGGCGTCGCGACGCCCTCACGCGTGGTCGGCGCGTCGCGTCGGGCGTCGCGGCGCGTCCGTCGCGGGGCAGCCGAGCGATGGCCCCGCCCACGCCCACGCCCTCGCCCGCGGAGGATTCCGCTGCCCTGACGCCTCAAGACGCCGCCCCGCTGACACCTCGTCGGGCCGGGCCGGGCCGGCGATGGGTCGAGAAGCGTTGCATGTCCTCTGAGGGGAAGTAATTCCTCCCGGGAGAACGGGCTAGGGATGTCTGCTCCAGTTTGGGGATACAAGACTCAGCCCAGCGAATTGGGCTAGGGCGCTACATTCTAATATAGTTTTATTTATCAAATTAAAACTAAAAGACCATTATGAGAAATGGGACTAAGCCTCATCCTAGAAAAAATAGTATACTGATCTCTAGGCAGTACATATGACGTATTGACTATGGAAACTGGATGAATAAGATGAACAGAGGACATAAAGTACTTGGTAACAATTGGGAAATAAGGTTTTTATGGACAGGAATGTGAAACCCGACGAATTGAAGGAAGAAACATATTAGAAGTCCTAAAACCAGTGATCTGGGATCAAAATATAAGCAAGAAAAACATAAATTAGAATATATAAATTATGAATAGATAAATGAAAAGTGATTGAAAGTGTTATATTGTATGGAGCACAAATATGACAGCTTCCAGAACAGCAGAAAAGAAAATCGAGGGACCTGGAAATGGATTTCCTCTGAAGAGCTGCAGCAATAGCTAGCAGGAAAAGATTGACAAATGAACAGATTAAGGAAATAATGAATCTGCAACATTTTTTATAGAGGAAATTGAAATAAAACAACTCAGTTGGTTTGGACGTGCGAATGGGGAAGACAACACTCCCCAGAAGATTCTTAGAATGGCCACCAAGTGAAAGGAAAGAAGAGACGGAACAAGACCAGAATGGAACGACCAGATCAGAAAGATAGTCGAGAGGTGGAAATTATCTCCTGATTTCTGGACAAAGAGAAGACTGGAGAAAAGGAATAGGCGTCAGAAGACCAAAGTAGTTGTTATGAAACCAGCAAGAAGAAGAAGAAGAAGAAGAAGAAGAAGAAGAAGAAGATCAAGAAGAGGAAGAAAATCCAACATTAATATTTACTAAACTGTTTCTATACATTCATGTTAACTCAATGAGGTCTGTGAAAAGTGTTAAGTCCGTCCACAAGACCCTTCCTGGTGACACCTTGTGGTGACGTGACACTTGTTGATGGTCTCAAAACGTTGCATGGCCATTGGGAAAATAGTTGGACGTGAAGAAATTAATCAGGGATGTCATCTCTAGTATAAAGATACGAGATTCAGATGTTAACGCTCAGCCTAATAAATTGGGTAAGATTGGAACATTCCAATATACTTTTAGTTACCGATATTTCTAAATCTTCATACACTTAAGAGTCTATTCATTCAATCGAGATCTCTGAAAAATAGTTCTTCCGTCAACAAGTCCCCTCCGAGTGACAACTTATCGCGTCGTGATGGCAACGAGTCTTGAAGTGGTTCGTGACATTAGGAAAAAATGGTTTCACGAGAGGTAATATGTCATTTCCAGTTTCCGGTTACAATACTCGGTTATTGAAACTCAGCCCTCAGCAAATTGAACAAAATGCCCAATATCCTCAAGGTTTGGAGCTCAAGATGGTTTTGTGGTATCCTATGAGGTTTTAGAAAAAATATTGGAAATTCGTAAATAGAGTGAACACGTGAAGTGCTTTGTAAGGGGCGATAATTGGGTGGTCTACTATTAAAAAGTATTTGCATTTAATATTTAGGAAAAGTGGCATGCGGTACGCTGCAGAAAAGTGACTAAATTTCTCCTTTCTTATTTTGCTATTCTAATTCTCACTACTTTGGCTGTTACGACAAACGTTGGTATTTACTGATTCATTATAATGCGGGTTTTTACGTCTAAAATATAATAATTATGAGGATTTTTTATTATATTGTGATGTTACGTAAAATTAGTGTAACCCTATTTGTTTGAAAAATTTCTCTTAAAAGATTCTACCTATACACAGAAATTAAAACGGCAGCGCCAAAACTAATAGTTTTCAAAATTCATCACGTGTTGGCGGGGTATTTTGTACTTAATCATTTGTGGCGTCATATTATTTCTCGTCTCTCTCGGAAACTAATTGTCTAATTGGAGTTTGGTTTGCACCATTGAATTTCTCTTAAAGTGTTCTAATTTTACCTAGAATAACGAAACGCAGCGCTGAAATTCATATTTTGCCAAATTTGTCACGTAATAGGATGGTATTTTGTACTTTAACTTGTATACAGAAATACAGATAACAGTGCTGAAAACAATATTTTTCCAATTTTGGCACGTAAGGGGGGTCGTTTTGTATCTTGAACAATTGAGGTTCCTTTTGTTTCTTGTCTATCTCCGAAATTATTATACTGATTGGAGATTGCTTTGCTCCTATCAATTTCTTTTAATGTCTTTTACTTGTATACAGATATACAGATAGCAGAGCTGAAATTAATATTTTTCGAAAATTAACACGTAAGGAGGAGTCGCTCAATAACTTGAACAATTGAGATAACTTTGGTTTTTCGACTATTTCGGAAACTATTCGTCTGATTGGAGTTTGCTTTGCACCAATCAATTTCTTTTAATGTGTTTACTTGTATAAAGAATTAGAGATAGCAGTGCTGAAATTATTATTTCTCGAAATTTGGCACGTAAGGGGGGATCGTTTTGTACTTTGCACAATGAGGTTGCTTTTATTTTTCGTTTATCCGGAAACTATTCGTCTGATTGGTGTTTGCTTTTGCACCAATTCAATTTCTTTTTATGTGTTTTACTTGTATACAGAATTAGAGATAGTTGTGGCTGAAATTAATACTTTTCGAAATTTGGCACGTAAAGGGGGGGCTCGCTTTGTAACTAGACAATTGAGGTTCTTTTGTTTCTGTTTATCTCGGAAACTTCTTCGTCTGAATTGGAGTTTGCTTTGCACCAGGCAATTTCTTTTGATGTGTTTTACTTGTATACAGATTTACATACAGCAGTGCCGAAATTATTATTTTTCGAAAATTGGCACGTAAGGGGTGGGGGTCGCTTTGTAACTTGAACAATTGAGGTCCCTTTTGTTTCTCGTTTATCTCGGAAACTATTCGCCTGATTAAAGTTTGCTTTGCACCAATCAATTTCTTTTGATGTGTTTTACTTGCATACAGAATTAGAGATAGCAGTGCTGAAATTAATATTTTTCGAAATTTGGCACGTAAGGAGTGGGGGTCGCATTGTAACTTGAACAATTGAGGTTCCTTTTGTTTCTCGTCTATCTCGGAAACTAATTATCTGATTGGAATTTTCTTTGCACCAATCAATTTCTTTTAATGTGTTTTACTTTTATACAGAATTACAGTTAGCAGTGCTTAAATTAATAGTTTTGGAAATTAGGCACGTTAGGGGGTGTTGTTTTGTAACTTGAACAATTGAGGTTCTTTTTTTCTCGTCTATTTCAGAAACTATTCGTCTGATGGGAGTGGGTTTGCACCATTGAATTTCTCTTAAAATGTTCTATTTATACCTACAATAACGAAACGCAGCGCTGAAATTTTTATTTTGCCAAATTAGTCACGTAATGGACGGGGGTATTCTTCTTGATCATTTGTATC